CACTCTGGCCCAAGTACGTCAGGATGCCTAGTGCTTTCTCTTGCCTCTCCTGTGGGGGCGAGAAACACAATAGTCTTTTCAGTCCCTCTGAGAGCCCTAGATGTGGCAGTAGGGAAAGCCAGGGCCTGGGTTCAGAGAGACGACGGGCTGGTAGGCAGGCAGTCATTCAACAAGGGAAATCAGGGACGGGACTAGCTATGCAAAGTGCTAAGGGCTGGCTCATCTGGAGAAGGAAGAGTAAAAGGAGGACAGGGGCGGAAAGGAGGATGGGAGAAGTCTATGGGAAAACCTGCAGAAAAGCAAAGCAGAGTGGTTTCGGTGGGATACAAGCATCTTCAAAGTTGGAATGGGAGATGCAGGAGAGCCACCTGGCGGTGCACGCTTATGACCCCAGCACTCAGGAGGTCAAATCAGGGGGATTGTGAGCTGGAGGGCACCCTGGTCTGTATAGTTGAGGTCTCATCTCAATCTAGCTTAAGTCTCATATAGTAAGGTTAACATCAGAAACAGCTTAAGTGCACTGCATCAGTAACCAAATTATGTGCTTTCAGTCACATTCAGAATGTCCTGTGTGCTCATCTGTCACCATATCCTAACAGCTGTTACAGCTAGCCCCCTGACCCCAGTCCCCCCCAGGATTCCACCAACAGGAAGCCAGCTTACCTTCTCCTGTCGCTTCTCTTCCTCGTGCTCTTTATTGCCTCTGGGCACTCCTTTCCCTTCTTCCAGCAGCTCCTTAAACAGGTCCACGGGGCCAGAACTTGGAACTCCTGCATCTGCTGCTTCCAGTTCAGGCAGTGAGTTCTGGCGCCTGGCTTTCTTCCTTAAGAATTCTGTTCGGGCCTGTGAAGAAAGTTATAGGCAAGACCTTCAGAACACTCCTAAAGAGGTTGGGGGAAAAAAGACCTTCAGAACATAGAAGTGGTGGGGACTACAAGAAAGAGCCATGGGCCAGCTAATGGTGTATGCCTCTAATGCCAGCATTCAGGAGGCAGAGGCTGAGTGGGTTTTGTTTTGTTTTGCTTTTTGAAGACAGGGTTTCTCCCTGTCCTGGAACTTGCTCTGTACACCTGGCCTTTCTCTGCCTCCACCTCCCAAGTGCTGGGATTAAAAACACACGCCTTGTAACCTCCAAATTCAAGGCCAGCCTGGTATACAGAGCGAGTTCCAGGAAGGCAGGGCTACACAAGGAAACTATCTGGAAAAACCTTTAGAGGGGGAGGTGAGGATAGTATAGGTACTGGGAGCCAGAAGAGACACTTTCTGATTTGGCGTGAAGAATGGGTGTTTTAAACAGTAAACTTGCTAGACAGTGGTGGCGCCTTTAATCCCAGCCTGGGGGGGGGGGGCGGGGCAGAGGCAGGCGGATCTCTGTGAGTTCGAGGCCAGCCTGGTCTACAAAAGCTAGTTCCAGGACAGGCTCCAAAGCTACAGAGAAACCACAGAAACGGTAAACTTGATTATCAGGAATTTCTGGTAGGTCCCCAGCCTAAAACAGAAGGCTTCCCAGCCTACAGTGATGCAAAACAAAACAAAAAGCAGCTATTAAAAAACCACTCAGCAGGGGCTGGAGAGATGGCTCAGTGGTTAAAAGTAGTGGCTGCCCCTCCAGAGGTTCTGAGTTCAATTCCCAGCAACCCCATGGTGGCTCACAACCATCGATAATGAGATCTGGTATCCTCTTCTGGCCTGCAGGCAGAGCACTATACACATAATAAATCCTTTTTTTAAAAAAAAAAAAAAAATCTAACTACTCAGTACTTCTGTGTCCTTGGGCCACACTTTGCAGTAGGGTAGGGGCCCACAAAATAATCATTAAAGTCTGGTCGTGTGTGTGTGTAGTCTTAAATCCCAGCATTCAGGTGGAAGTGGCAGGCGGATCTCAGAGGTGGAGACCAGCCTGGTCTACAAAGCCAGTTCTAGGACAGCCAGGGCTACCTAGGCCCTGTTTCAAAGAAAGCCTCTGATCAGGCAGTGGTGGCGCACGCCTTTAATCCTAGCACTTGGGAGGCAGAGGCAAGTGGATCTCAGTGAGTTCAAGGCTAGCCTGGTCTATAAAACGAGTTCCAGGACAGCCAGGTCTGTTAGTCTGTTGTGCAGAGAAACCCGGTCTTGAAAAACAAACAAGCAAAGCCTCTGGGTGTATTTGTCTCGGGGAGCAATAATGGAAAATGCGTCTAACGGAGTGGACTCCAGCTTGTCCTCCCTTTGCCCTCCTCGTTGAAGCCGTTGCGCTCAGTGCCGACCGCACACCCCTTTAATTAAGGACTCAAAGTTGTTCTAAGAGGGATTTCTCAAGTCTAGCACTTTGTAGGTGGGGCACATATATACAGTGGATGCCCAGTAACTTGTGCAGACGAACTATAAAGTAATCAGAATATCTGTCCCACTCTTATGAACTAGTCTCTGGCCACTTCAACTACACCAGTGGGGAAATCTAGGAAGATTTCATGGAAGTTAGCAAAGGATTTGTAGCGAAACATCGCCAAACACTGACCCGCGCCTGACAGCGAGTGACCGGCAGGCCCTCCGTGCTTCCGGGCCAGCCCCAGGCTTACCTCTTGCTGAGCGAGCAACACCCTCCGCTCACGTGGGCCTTGTCGCACCGCACGCGGGCAACATTGTCCTTGTTCAGGACGTGCCAGCTCTTCTTGGGCAAAATATTCATGGCTCCGTAGCCGACCTCTGACCAACAGGCCCACTCTCCAATACTTCC